TCAGATGCTCAGAAGCTCTTGAGAAGCTACTTCGGCTACTCAGATGCATCAAGATGCACTGCTCCAAATACTCTGTAGGAACTTTTGATGCATGTAAAGCAGCTGTTTCTGCTGTGACAGTAGCGTGTGGTCTGAACGTAGCATTAGTTGAATTTTGAGTTTTCTGCTTCATATTAGAAGATGACCTGGAGAGTGGTGAGATTTACATCCAAAATATGTCAACTGTGTAAGGATTGACTCAAAATCTGAACTTGGTCCACCGTACCACACAAACTTTGTCAACTTATGCTCCACAGTTATATTTCAATGACATCATCAGTATCCCTGGCCAAACCCCTTTGTGTGATTGGACTGTGGCAAGAGATCAGTGATCCAGTCAGAAGAAGCTCTGTTCATATGATATATCCCTGCACATGCTTAAATACAGACATAATTCTTCATTTTTAGATGGAGGATCACAACTCTGTTTCTCGGCCTTCCAAAAGAAGAAGTACTCACAGCTTATCTTGCTTGGTTCCACACAGTTTGTTTGTTTTTTTTAACTGATGATTTTAACCTGTCTTTTTCCTACTTGTGCTAGGTAATGAATTATAAGCTTAAGATCAATGTGGTCGTAAATATTAGAACCTAGACCAAATGTTTTCTATTTTCAATTAGTCAAATATAGTAACTACTTGAGTTAAGCAGTGTTGTTTAGTTAGTTTGATTAAATGATGGAGTCAGACCAGCTTTTACTTGTTGTTTATTAAATGCATTAGTCTAATTACTACACCCAAACTTAGATTTGCAATTTTTCCTACAACTTTGCCTGTGCTACAAGGAAACATACCTGTTTTATTGCTCATATGAGTTTTCTTAATTTCTGTATATTTTAAATCTGTCACAAATTGAAAAATTATCTACGGTAATTTAAATATGCTTTTATAACCTGAATGGGTTGCTTTGTTACAAAGGATCAGCAATTTTCTCTTTTATTCCATCGCTTTTCTTCCCTCCTTCTGCTAAGAACTTAACTGCTTTGTGATTTATATATTTCAGGTATTGCCATATAAATTTCCCTGGAAGATCCTATGTTTTTATCCTAAGACAAACAAGATGTTATCAGTGACTTACAGAACAGAACATGCTATATGTCCCTACTTTGTCATTAATATTATCTGCCTGCTGATCTCTGCTTATTTGGCTGCCTAAATGGATGAGGGTTTTAATGTAACTTATATAATTCTTGGTGGACACATGGAAGTGGAAAAATACAGATATCTTTATTTTGTGATCATTCTTACCATATATTTTCTCATAATAAGCTGTAACTCCACTATAGTGTGTCTGATTTGGACTCACCGGAACCTCCATGAGCCTATGTACATCTTAATCGGGGCTTTGTTAATCAACTCTGTTCTTTGGAGTACTGTTATCTACCCTAAACTTTTGATTGATTTTCTGTCTGAAGAGCAGACCATATCATACTCAGCTTGTGTTTTACAGTTTCATATGTTTTACTCTTTGGGTGGGTCAGAGTTCTTGCTTTTGGCAGCTATGGCTTATGACCGGTATGTTTCTATATGTAAACCTCTACAATATCCAACTATAATGAGTAAATCTACTATCAGTATTCTTCTGATTTTAGCTTGGACTCTACCTGCCTCTCAGCTTGCAATACCAGCTGGACTGATTGCTAATACACAACTCTGCAGTTTTACCATAAGGAACATATTTTGTAATAATACACTTTACAAACTGCAGTGTATCATCACCACAGCACAAACTATACGTGATATGGTGATTTTGGTAAATGTTGCACTTATGCCTGTGTTTTTTATACTATTCACTTACATACGTATCCTTAGAATATCCTACCGAAGTAGCAGAGAGGTGAGAAAAAAAGCAGCACAGACATGCTTACCTCACTTAATTGTGTTGACCAACTTTTCCTGTTTGTGTGTATTTGATGTTATTACAGTTCGGCTGGATTCAGATTTTCCAAAGACTTTAAGGCTAATAATGACTTTACAGTTAATAATGTATCATCCCCTCTTAAATCCAATCATGTATGGGCTCAAAATGAAGGAAATCTCTAAACATCTCAAACGATTGTTCACTCGGGGCAAACAATGCTGATATACAAACACTGCATTCATTCTAGACTTAGACAGATTTATTTGTCATTTTGTTTACACAAGTGTAAAACAAAAAGGAATTTCGTTTAGAAAAGCTCTCTGGACAATTTCTTTTTTTTTTAAGTGCAAATTCTAGAGCGTAATGTTGCAATCTAAATTAATATACTCATATGGGATAATTAATTTATCTCTTTTTCCAGTCAAATGAAATAATATAATTCCTTTTTTACTATCACATGTTGGATAGTTATTGAATATTCATCACTTGTTGTCTTTTGTCCTTACTTTTATGCAAATTGATTCATTCAAAAAATACAAGTGGTTGTAACATTTTGAATTTTTTGATGAGTTATGAAGTAAATGTAACTATTATTTAATCATCAAATGATATAAATTGCTTAATTGAATGCACCTTATTGTATTAATAGCTAAAATATGAATTATCAGTAGCTATAAAACAAGCCAGATCATCAGGACCCTACTGTTGCTACTGACAGTAGATATAAGATGTTCATACTAACAAATTTAAGATGAAAAGAAAGGACCTCTGATATTTGAATTTTGCAGTTAAAATTTTTAGAACATTCCAGAAATGTTCTGGGGTCTCATTGATTAAAGTGGCATATGTACAACAAGCCTGCTTGAAACTGGCTTAGGTTGCTTTCCACAAAAGGTTGTGATTTATATAAAACAGAACCTGCAGTCCTCCCCAATACTAAGACCCATGCGAGGCTTATTCATTTCATACACATTTGTGAAACAGATGTCGAAATAAGCTATACTACAACATGTTTTTTTACACAGATGTTCAAATTCTCCCTATTTCAAACATCCATCATAGGACTATGATGACATCATAGGTTATCACAAGCATTTAAAACTGCAGTGTTATTTATGCTTGCACTGATAAGCCATCACTATACATAAATAAACAACTATCATTTTTACATTAATTGAAAAATGCCTATAAGCTTACATCAAAGTCAGCATAATATAGAGGAATATTATATTGATAAAAATACTGATTTAAGACAGAGGTCACAAACTCAAATTTTCGAAGGTTGCTGTCCCAATACGGTTAGTTACGGTCTCCACACATTAGACTCATACTTAGACTTAGATTTATATTGTCATTTTGTATGCACAAATGTAAACAAAAAGAAATTTCATTTAAAACAGCTCTAAACAATTTCATTTTTAAAGTGCGGCCTTAAAAACATTAATAAATGCATAAAAAACAGTAATAAAAATATATTAGTTTTTTAAATAAATAAATACCCCATTTAAAACAAGATTCAGCAGTCTAATGGCAGTGGCGTAGAAACTGTTATACAATCTGCTGGAGCAGCATCGGATACTTCAAAGCTTCTTCCCAGAGGGCAGCAGTGTCATGATTTAACTAAAGATCTGACCCAAATGCAGAAGACTAGACAGAGAGACCAGGGAAAAGTTTAACCGGTTTATTAGAATGATGATATGAGTCCAATGCTGCTCTGAACACTGTCGAACCAGAACTGGAAAGTGATTGGAAGACACTGCGGTTAGTTCAGGCTCAATGGGAAATTAGATTCCTTGACTTGAAGAGGAGGAATAGGTTGCAGACTCACGTTTCTTATTGAATCCAGTCGGTGTGGGCTGTTCCAGTGAATGACTTGTTCGTTGGAGGGCGGACAGGGTTAACCCAGGTTGCGATTGTGCCTTGGTGAACGGAGAAGCTGACTGCCACTTAGATTTCCTGCGGTACTTCAACTGGTTATTGTGGAGATGTATCCCCTGCTCAGAGAGAAGCCCCAGACGATCCTTGGGGGAAAAATTGATCCAAACCACAAACATGAATCCTCGGCTCAGTTTGGTTCTCAGAAGATCCTTCCAGGGGAGAGAAGGTCCGAAACATCCAGTTTGTAGGATGACTTCCTGCCGAGAGGCAAAGACAAAAACAGCGAGATTAAAACTCAGGTAAACAAAAACTCAGGTTAGACTCTGCTAAACTTAGCATGGCTAGAGTACCCCAAACTGGCAAACACTCTGGTGTCGAGGTAGTGGCAGTCAGCAGCTGAAGAGTTCTCAGGTAATGAGGCAACGAGCTGCAGGTGTGCAGGGAGGCCCAATGAGGACGGGGCACCACCTGGTGGAGGAAAAAAGGAAACACAAAAACAGACCACACCGAGGGGCCTTGAAGGTTTGGGGTGCCCGCCGAGGGGCCTTGGAGTGCCCGACGAGGGGCCTTGGAGGCTCGGGTTCTGGCCCGCCGAGGGGACTTGGAGGCTCGGGTGCTGGCCCACCGAGGGGACTTTGAGGCTTGGGTTCTGGCCCGCCCAAGGGACTTTGAGGCTCGGGTTCTGGCCCGCCGAGGGTGTAGTTGGATATGTATATATATATATATATATATATATATATATATATATATATATATATATATATATATATATATATATATATATATAAAACTGTAACTGAAGCGTGTAACAAAAATAATTTCCCTCTGGGATAATTAAAGTATTTCTGATTCTGACTGAAAGCAGCAGCTATTTTGAGCCATGAGTTTATCATGTCTTCAGAGGGGGGGATATTGAGTATAGTACAACAAGTATTTAATCCAACTGCAGGATTAAATAACTACTTTAAAAAATTTTGCAGAGTATGTCTCACATGTTGCGAAGAACATGTAATCTGCCCAGATCTCCTTTTGTTTCCCCACAGGAAGGCCTGAAGCCTGGAGATCGAGTGCTGATCAAAATCATCAAGGCAAAAATTGGGCAGCTCCAAGGTGTGAAGGACCCTACATTGTGCAACTAGCAACTCCAACCACTGTCAACCAGAGACATTGTAAGCTGATTAAAGATTTTCCTCAGCTACCTTCACAGGGACCCCACGACTAAGGTAGGGATCTGTAGTGAAGCCCAGCTACAAAGGGGTTAAGCAATTTAGAGCTTTTCGTCTCAACGCTGATGAAGAAACCAACCTAACCCAATCCCTTAGCGTCCTGGTTAGTGGGTGCTTCCTTGGAGGGAAGATGGGAAAAACCAAAATGGTTTTGCTGCCTGGTGATGACCATTGGACTGGTGTTCCCAGGGACTCAAACTGACTGCCAGAAACAAAGGAAAAACCAGAATCGTTTTTGATGGATCCACAGCAAGTCATTCCTGTGGTGCCAATATGAGGTGGCAACATTCCAAGCATGTTGCTGAAGGTTCGAATAAATCAGACTGTTATGTTTGTACTCATACAGACCGCTCTGGATGAGTTGAAGATTTAAAGAGGTATGTTGACCATCACACCTCCGGTGCAAGTCCAGAACCATGGACAAGTTGGTTCACCATGGGATCATGGTGGCAGGTGTTGATGAAGATAGCTTTACCATTTGTGGGATTGTTTTTCATATTTTTCCTTTTAATTTGTTGCTTAATACCATGTCTCCAGTCAATGATTCAGAGAATGATAGGATCCACTCTTATCCAGTATTCAGCTGTAACTTATGCAAAGATGCTGATGAAGATAATGATGATGATTAAGCTGTGTAATCTGTTACAGGGATAATGATCGCTTCCTCGGGAAGGGTCGGGTAGGAATTTCCCTCTATTGGAGAGGTTTTGCCTACTCAAGGGACAGATTTTNCCGCCCAACGCGCGTCAGAGCCACTTTTGCACCGCGCAGGCAGAGCAGCAAAGCTGCTTCAGCCGCGCGTCAGAACTAACTGGTACAAGCAGCAAAAAGGAAGCAGCAGACGCGATTTTGCTGCTTTTGCTGCGTCCGGTCTGAACGTAGCATAAGCCTCATGAACTCAGAGTAGGGTGAAATCACAAAAAATGCTTGTTATATACACAAAGGACTATATTTTGGGGGTCTTATGTAGCTCGTGTGCAGCGGAAGTTGAAAGTATTTCTAGCTGTTGTGTGTTGAAGTGGTAGTAACAGTGGTTTTCCCTCTGGGATTAATAAAGTATGTCTGAAAGCACACATATAAATTAGCTAACTTTAGCATTAGTTTAGCTACACAAGAGCCCCAGAAGCTAGTTTGTTAGGACTACAGATTTTCGTTATATTGTAAGTTCAAATATATATGACTTTGTTAATGCTAAGGCCAGTTCCTAGGCCTGTTCATTCTGCTCTTTTGCTTCTTTTTACTTCATTTAAAGATTGGAACACAGTGCAGTTTCCTATGTGAGTGACGTCTGTTGTTTACGTTCCGTGTGTTTGGTTGGAAGTTATATGTTCAGAAATGTGCATCTTATTTAAGTTATGACGTCAGGTAAGGATTAGTTTTTGTAAACAAAGTTTCTTCATTGTACTATTACTTATCAAAAATATGCATGGTGCCTACCAAAGTCACTGAAGTGATGACTTCGCATTCACTCGAATAAGCCTGCTCAAAGTTGTGGTTTTAGACACTTTGTGATGCTTGAAATCGATTAAAAACATTGATCACCAAAAGCGCACTGTGCTGCAAATATAGTTCTAACTCTGTAGTCAACTGCAAGCTTTTATTTGCATCTTTGCAAATAGTTATGAAAAACAAATTGGAATGTCATCCCATTCAATTCATCTTTAACAACACACCTGAGCATAAATAAGCCATAGTTAAAAAAAAAAAAAAGTCCTGCACTTTCTTCCAGTCTTTTTTTCCACTTGTCAGCACTTTCTGCTTGCTAAACAATTATGATATAACCGTTGCATAGTTTGACAGCTTATTTTTTATTTAGATTACATTTGAAGGACTGTTCCCCGGTGGAGATCACAGAAGTTGGGTGTTCCTGAGTGGCTGGTACAGTGCTGTGCAATCACATTGTTGCATTGCTTTACCAAACTGCACACTACTGTGCTCTGAATTTTACTTCAGTGCCACCAGTACTACTCTAAGCTGTACGGAAACTGAACAGAGCTGGCACAAACCAAGGACCATGGTAAGTGAATCACAATAAAATGCTTTGTGTAAACACACCCTACAATTCTATTTAAAACAACATAGTGACCCGTAAATCCATATAGACATGTTATCTGGACAACAGATTCTTGCTGATCTATAAAACGTTGATATTACATCACCACCATGAATACATGAACATTAAAACAAATAAGTCAGTAATGTTTTTTTTTTTATTCATGCCTAAGTACATGGATAATTAATATATACATTTGATATTCTACATTTACATTGTGTACCTTTCTGTGTGTGTTATCACTGTTATTATTTTTAAGCATTTAATTTAATTATTTTACAGGGTGTTAAACCAGGCCGTGTGCGTGACATGGTTTTTAAGTCTGCAAGACCAAAACAGCAGCGCATGGTCGGAAATGGTGTAAGGTAATTATTTTTAATGTAATTACTTATATTGAAGGTTGAAATAACTGAATGTTTTTTGAATACCTATTTTGAGTGACAGGATTTAATATGATTTTTTTTTTTCTTTTGAAGGAGCAAACGTTACAGGGCAGTGCGAGGTGACACACCAGACCCTAATGTTCTCAGGGTAGCAGAGGTGTACCAGGACTTTCCAGCTGACCTTGCACCTCTCATTACTACAATGGGAATTTGTGCTGATGTGCCTTTAGTGGATTCAGCCTTTGGTAAGGTACAGGAAGGCAGTCCGTTAGCTTTTCAGCATCCACTACCGGCATGGAGTGGTGTGATTTTGTCATATATGCAGAGGATGACATTCTTGTCCAACGCATTTATAGAGATCCAAGTGTATGTGTGCCATGTTGTGGATTAAGTAGCTTTAATAGCACAATAAAAGTTTGTTGTTTGAGTATTCCAGTTTGTTTATTGATATAAATTTCCCCAAAAAAAAGTGTTTTAATGGAAACAGTGATTAAGAAATATTTGTTTTATAAAATATTTTATTTGTGGCCTTCACAAACAAGTAGCACACTTTACAAGGCAAAAACAAGTAGTTGAAAACGGTATCCTATGAGGGGGAAAAAAACATCACATAAATTATTGAGGTGACTAGCTCATTCCTGTGAGAAGTTGAGTGTTTAATAACCACAATTCTCAATTCAGTCACTAGGGGGCAGTGAACATGAGACAGGGGAATGTTCATTATGTTCACATTTTAATAATTTCACAACTACATTAGTTTGTGGAAAATCGCACAAGCTAACTAAAAATTGATTAAAATAGTCTAAAAGATTACTAAACCAGATCAAACAACTGTGAAACTATAGATATTTTAGCAAGTTGCCCAAGCCTTCACAAGCAGCCCATTTTGGTAATTTACCAGGTAACAAGACACATTGAACAGTTCATCAATGATCCCAAATGCAGCCAGTGGGATAACGCCATCAAAAAATTTGTTCTCCTTCACTCTCCGGATGCAGCGCTCTACATGGATCCTCAAGCAAGCAATGTTTTGGGTCTGAAGGACATCATGTGGGTTCATCTGCTTTTTCCCGGAGCGGAAAGGTGGTCTGTAGACCTTGCAGGGGGCCAAATTGTCAACTAGAAATCCCCTGTCNCTGTAGACCTTGCAGGGGGCCAAATTGTCAACTAGAAATCCCCTGTCAACCATTTTTGCCATGTCAGGCTCTAGTACACTGATGATGTCAGATTGTTTGAAGATCTCGCGATCACTCATTGATCCAGCGTAAAGGGCAGAGACAAATGTGATGGCACCATGAGGTGCTATGCCAATCATGGCCTTCAGTGTGGAGTGGGATTTGTATGTTGAAAACACCTCACTCTGCAACATGAGGTCTGATGGTGTCTGGCAGTAAATTTCAGTGCAATCAAGCACTACTTGGGTGTCTGGAAACAATGAAAACTCCACAGGAAGTCTAGCACACACCACTTCACGAGGCAACCAGAGGCGTTGGCGTCCAAGCAGATCGTACAGGAAGTTGGCCCATGTGGTAATGATCCTGCTCACTGTCGTTCGGTGAATGCCAAACCTTTCACCGAGATCTCTGTGTGTAGAACCAATGGTCAGGTACATCAAGAAAAGAAACAGCTCATCTATAGGAGGAAGTTTCTTTGAATGAAGAATAGACAATTAAATATTATTAATTGTGTGTGTGTATATTATATATATCATATATAGATATATATATACCATATATATATATCATATAGATATCTAGATATAGATATCTAGATATAGATATCTAGATATAGATATCTAGATATAGATATGTATTTATGACTGTCGTAGATTTATACCATGGATGTGGGAAATCTTTCTGAGCTAGCTGTTGAGGACTTGGTGTTGGTGACCCGGATCATCTTTGTCATCACAGCAGGCTCCACCAGCTTCCAAAAATACTGGAAATGTCGGTATGAGGCAAACCTGTTGACATGGTTTTAGAAAATAATATATTTAACAAATACTGCATAATTGTTGTCATTATCTCCAACTGTAAACCCAATGTTAAACTGAATAACGCAGAGATCTGTTCTAAAGCAATGTGTATCATTTTAATCCCAATTTAATATCACTGCCCCATTTAATTTTAAAAAGTTGTCATGTAAACAATGGAGTGTTAACGAGAAGAAAACTCAGTGATGCGCGTCCGTTTTATAATATTTCTGTATTTACTGCACTGGTAAAGCAATAAAGAAATTATAGTTTATACAGTGCATGTAGCATAAAGATGAACAATAATGATAACACATA